TTAAATGGTATTATTTATAAAGCAATAAAAATTTTAAAAAAGAATGTTTTGCCTCTGTGTATGTCTACCACATGTCTTCAGTGCCCTTAGAAGCCAGAAGAGGGTATAGGAGTCCTGGAAGTGGAGTAATAGAAGACATTAAAGCTGCTTTATGGGTACTGAGCAGTGAACCTAGGTCCTCAGCCAGAGCAACCACCGTTCTTAATTGCTGAGTGATCTCTCCAGCCTTTTATGTACTACATATTATAACGATTTTGAATGTATGGGAGTCTGACAATATTTTCCCTTGTGACTAGGAAATTTGGGTCTCTATGTATAGCCTAAAAAGAGGGGAAATATCCATATTTCTAGCATTTAATGAAAGCCCATGTCAAAAACGGCCATTTTCTATTTATTAAGAGTAAAATAAAATTAATCGTCTTACTTTTTTTTAAATTAAAGAAAATTAGTACTGGGAGGGATAAGGCTATAATTCACTGGTAGAAAAATTCCCTAGTAATTACAAGGTCCTTGACAAAATCTCCAATACCTCACAAATAATGCTGGTCTTATGTTCTCTAACACTGATTTTCGTTTTTTAGTTTTCTTTGTGCATGCATGCATACGTGTGTGTAAGTGTGTGTGTGTGTGTGTGTGTGTGTGTGTGTGTGCATGGGCATGTGTGGGGGTGCTAAAGCATGCGTACATGCATGTACTCAGGATAGAATACATCTCCTCAGGTATGCTAGGTAAGTAATTACTTTATTGCTGAGCTGCATCCTGTTATTGTTAAAATGTTTAAGCTGGCTTTTTTGTGTGTGATTGGATGGATATATTTAGAGCCTAAAAATATATGATACAATCCTCTTGAGCTTATTTAGTTGACTAATCCTGCAAGAATCAGACTATCCAAACCAAAGTTACCTATATGTTAGTATGTGTGGTGTTTCTACAGGTTGTGTGTGTATATGTTGAACATGTGTGCACATGTAAGTATATATGAATAGTTGCTTCCGCTTTTCTATTATGGATTTTCATTGCATATGGAATCGTAGCTAGAGGGACACTAAAGAATGAGATGGAGTCATCAATGATGAAACAGTTTTAGCTAACTGTCTAAATAATATATGTTCGTTGTAGAAAAACGGGAGAAAAGACTTAAACAGAAAATCCCTAGTAACTATTGACTAGCGGTGTCTAACACTAATAGCTCGAGTAACATCTTACCTGTCATCACTTAATGCTCATGTGCTCATTTCCAGTCCTTACAAAGGTTTTTCATTTCTGATATCATGCTGCTTAGGTCTGAAGTAGGGGAAATAACTGAAGCGTTTTAATGGCGATGCACGGTACACGGATGTATGTTGAACCTTCTTGGGATGCTGAACAATGAGAAAATGGAAACTTCCTTCAAACTGGGTGTAATGGGGGACATGTAACACTGCATGTGTATGGAAAACCACTGTAAGATGTTTGGAATTAGGGTACAGAAGCGTAAAGACAGTTTTGGCATTTTCACGACGTCACCACAGACATGTAGTTCAGGCTTGCTTGGGAGGGAAGGCTAGATGTGGTCTAAAACATGCGGCACAGCAGTCTTCATAAGCACTTGTCCTCTCAGGACCGGACTACATCTGGAGACTTTGAGGGATTCTATCGAGGTCAAAGCAATAACTGAGAACTAGAGGGATAGCTCTTGAAGAAGGAAAAATATAAGCCAATAAGACAGACATTATAGTCTGTGAGAAGGGGAAGGGCAATGTTGGCATTAAGTATATAACACACTGCCAGTGCCGGAGGCAAAACCATCGAAATTGATCATTCCATGGGTAAAAAGGAATACCTGATGTCTCGGGAATATATCATCATTTTCAGAAACACCATGATTCGTTCAAAAAGTTTTATTCATGTAATCTGTCCTTATGTACAACTGTAAATGTGTATGTATTTATAAGAGGTATGCACTAATCAATATGGCCATACTTTACTAAGAGAATAATAGCATGAGATCAGGGAATTCACTAACATAACACCTTGGTCAATTGCTAATATAGTCCCAAATGTTTGTGCACTCCAGATGACTCCACCTCTGAGCCTGAATTCAACGTTTTAAGAAATGTTGAATGTTACTACCATCCGCCATGCAGGTAAACTGCTGGTGTGTCACGTGAGTATCATATAGATGTGTAGGCCCACAATAAATGGAAGATATTATGTGATGCATAATCATTCAGATAAAGAGATGGTTTCCTGTGAAAGAAAAGTCTTGAAAGTACTAACTCTAAAAGCTGAAAAACAAATATCAACACTTAGTTCATTAGTAAGATGTTTGTTATTAGGCTCGAAAGAAACAATGTCACAGGCATTTAGAATTGAATACAGAGTTATAGAGCTGCATTCTAAATTATATGCAAATCACGCCTCAATAAAGTTGATTTAATAAAAGAGAAACTTTACAATGCATAAACTGCAAAATCACCTGCAAGTATAAAATGGCATTGCCTTCCAAAGTGGAATAACTAGCTCAAGGTCAAAAGTAATACTAAATATGAAGTATGGATTTATCAACTGTTCAAGCTACTGAGAAAACATTAATATAAAATGTATATATTTTATCTATATTACATAAATACATAAATATCTATTTATATCTATATTAGTCAACTATGTTTGTAATATCTCATTACAGAATAACAGTGATAGAAAAGAATATGTAATCAAATGTAAATATGGCTACCATATGCTACTTTTACATAAAAAGGTTTTTAATACTGAATCATTCACAGAAAAATAGAGAAGTGTGTTTATATGTGTGTGGGGTAGTGGAGATCAAACCAAAGGCTTCACAGATAATATGAATATAGTCTACTACTAAGCTACATGTCTAGTCCAATAAACTTGTTTTTAACTTTTTAAATCTAGCTTAGTAAATACTAGTTAATTCTAAGGAGTAATTAATAAATTACTTGTTTTTTTAAAAGTTTATCCACATTTTTAAACTTGGAAAAATATATTAATTCTATATTTATATATATTTTAATATATGTGTTTATAATTATTCTATAATTAATATGTTAATTCTATAATTGAATTTTTAATTATAATATTACAACTAAAGTTCATGGTAACTCAAGTAGAGTTGTATGTGGGCCCTCTAAATTACACGTGATGTGACATTCAAGTTCTCTACATGTGGCACAAACAATCCAACATAATAATTTGAAATCATTATGGGCCTGAAAATGTAGTGCTTAAAGATGAATTGATCTTAATTTTATTTATTTACTTTACATTTATACACATAACTACACTGAAATGACATAATATTACTTTAAATGTTTTGGATATTTCTGGCTAGTAGAATAACGGCTGATATTTGGTTCTTCTGTTGTTTTTTATTTGCATTTTCCAGACTTCTTGGAAGAAATTTTGATCATTCATATATATATATATATTTTAAATTTATTTTGAGATAAGTCACTAAGTAGTTCTGGATGGCCTGAATCTCACTATGTAGACCAGGCTGGCTTTTATTCCACAGAGATCTGCCTGCCTTAGAGTGTGTTAGAGACTCTGTGCCTTAGAGAGTTCTTGAAATGTGTGTTTTATCAAGCCCAGCAAAATGCTTTTTTAAAGGTTGTTCTGTGGTTGATGATATCTCATTTATTTCTTCATGCTTCTAGAGCTGCAATTCATCATCCAGTGAGAAGCACGGCAGACATTTCATAGGTGGGATTTCTATCCGACCCCCACTACACACCTCTACATTCATATACACAATTTATATGTAAAAAAGCATATGAAAGCTCTGGTTCCCAGGGGGTTTATCACATTAACTTCATTTTGCCCTTTGTAGGTGTTTTGTTTCCTTGCTTTGTTTACTAAGACAAGGGGTTTCACTGTGTAGCCTTCACTGGCCTGGAAAGAACTATGTAGACCAGGCTGGCCTCCAACTCACAGACACCAGCCAGCTTCTGCCTCTCGAGTGCTGGGATTAAATGTGTGCACTAATCGCCATACCCAGTGACCACATCAACTTAAGTCTTCAGCATTACTAGCTTATAATTTCAAGTAAAAGCAGACCTGAAAGTAAAGAATGCATGTTTCTTACGTCAAACAACATAATAACTAAAAATCCAGCCACATCAGAGAATTCAGTTCAGATTAATCCCTACAAAGTCAAACAGAAAGAATAAACAATCAAGTACTCGAAAGGGGGATCATTTCTATATTGTTATGCTGTGTATCAGGCTGAAGAGATGGCTCAACATTTAAGAGCACTGGGTGACCTTTCAGACGACTCTGTTTTGATTCCCAGCACCCAACTTGATGGCTCACAAATGTCTGCAACTCCAGTTCCAGAGGATCAGACATGCTTTTCTGTGCTCTTCAGGTAGCATGCACACACATGCTGCACAGAGATACGTTCAGCCAAAATGCTCACACATGCAAAATAAAGAGTAATGAAAAATCTTTTAAAAATACGAAGTATGAAGGTTTAAATTCATAAATTTAGAACCTGTCAGACTTTCAAATAAAAATCCAATAAACCAACAGAGAGAAATCATTGAAAAGATCACAGCGATGACCCGAGAAGCTGTAGGCATTGTGAGCCCTGGAAAGGGGGCAGAAACCACTTTACATAACATCTGTACCTTAGCAAAAGCTATCGCTGCTGTTTCGCAAGGAAGAAATCGACAGAAGTAACTTGAAACAGTTTTCTTGATGGTAAAAATGCCACAAATTGCAAGCGCTTTTCCATTCTCCTAGGCTGCAAACAAAACTACTATTGACCTTTAGGTCTACTGAATTTGAAAGAATCAGTGATACTGGAAAGTTATTTTTGAAGATGAGAGTGTCTGCGAGCCAGCTCCGACTAGAAAGGTGCAGCTGCTTAACTCCGAAGCAATCTTCTGATATGTTTACACAACAAACAGCTTGCATGCTACACAGTACCCTTAAAGTAAACTGCCATTTAACCTGAAGGAAACGTCGCTCCCCCCCCCCCCCCGCGTCCTTACCTAAAGACTGGTAGAGCTCCGTCATTTTGGGATGGTCCCAACAAGTTGTTTGGGTCTCGTGGCTAAAACAGAAAATATAAAGAGAGACTTTAGAATCTACAACGTGCAAGAGCAAAAGGAAGACAAACGGTTCTATGTCACATCGCTACTTCCAAGGACTTGCAGAGTACTTCAGATCATCTTGCGTGCAGAAAGGCTCCTTTGTTTTCGAAGCGAAAGAGCAATACTAACATGATTAGCTCTAGAATCTGTTTCTTTTTCACACCCACACATTGAATGCACTACTGTTTTTGACGAATTTGACATTGACCTTGTTATATAATAGGTCAGGATTGCCTCATTTCTCCAACCGTGAGCACACACAGAAAGGAACATGACAATTGTCACTCAGCTCTGTCAGTTCCATCATTACAAATCACCTGATTTCTTCTTTGTTTCCTTGGCCCTCGTTCCATTACGCTTTCCTTTCCATGGCCAGGGCTCATATCGGTGACAACTGTATTCCATTTCACCTTAAGGCATATCCAGCACCAAGCTAATATATCCATCCCATCATTCTCCCTCCTTCCCATTACTTTTAAAATGCCTTTAGACTCAGCACTCTGCAGAGCACCTCGCTTCCTCCTAGATCTCCTTAGACCTCAATGAAGCATTCACACTTCTCCATTTCTTAAAGTGTGGTTGCCTGCTATGAGCTCCTGCCACAAAAGGGACAAAACACCTTTGTTTCTCTTTCAATTACATGAACAAACCCAGGAGAGATAACTACATATACTTTACCTTACTTTGGCCCATCTACATGGATCACCAGAGGATTGTATTTCCTGTTTTCAGAGATTACATGGTAAGCTCCGATAAACTAAAATGCAGCCTGGAACAATTATTTCAGCATTCATATGCCGAGCCTATTTATAATCTTTTAATGGGAAATGTGGGGACCAGAAAGGAAAGAAAGGGCTTAAATCTGGACATGTCAAGGGGACCAGAAAGGACAGAGGCTACCCACACAAAAGGAGGAGCTTGGGGAAGCAATAATGTCAAATGAACTCAGTAGAGGTTTTGAACTTTGGGCTTTCCAGCGCAGAGGTGGTGTAATTTGAGGCAAGTGGACTCACCTGGCAAAGAGGCAAAGGATTAACTGACATTGAGAACCGGCACATCTGAATACAGGCAATTTGCTACCATGTGGTCCCCGAGTTACCATTCTTTACAATAGAAGATGTGGAAGCTTAAAAATGATCCTTCCCAGAGAGCAGAAACTATATTTGCTTACTTAAAAAGAAGCCAAAACGAGAAACACTTCAAGTAGTTTGATAAATATAATCATAAATATCTTAAAGACATATGGAAATTGCCCAAACAGCACAACTTCAAAGAACATCCTCCCTCTCCGATTTACAGTTCAGTCATTGAGCTGTGAAGGCTACTAGAATCAATTCGCAAGAAAATGTTCACTTGTGAATGGCTCTCACTGCCTTCCAAGTGTGTCCATTTTTGTTTCCCTGTTCTGCGGAGAAAATTCACATGTGAAGTGTGTCAATCAGGGCTAGCCGCTGAGGGATATGTAACAGAGTGACATGGAAGTCGTGGGGAGTAAAAAGAGCAAGGGAGGCGGCAGACACTTTAGGAAGGTCTGGGAAAGCCCATGACCACGCTGGTTTATGATGTCGAGAAGGAGTGGGCGGGACTGGTACTTTATATGCACAGCACAAGGAGGCTGCAGCTTGCAGCTTGATGGAAAAAGTGTTGCTTGTTCTCGAGTGATTTGTAGCTCAAAAGTGACTGTGTCTCCCAATTCCATAGACAAGGGCTCCATCCTGAATTCCAGCTTCTTCCCCTTCCAAAGCCCATAGAGATGTAAGCACTAGTGAGAGAAAAAGGGGAAAGATGGAAATGTCCACACAGATGAACCTTACTAGACACACGGTGCAATAACAATGTCCCATTTCCAGGACATTGGGTCGGCTATGACATCTTTAATGGACCTGCAGGAAACTGTCTGGCTAAGCTGATAAACCTGACCAGGCACGGACACACCACCACTCTGAAAAGCAACCATCTGAAACTGATTTCACATAAGAGAAACAGGGCAATGACATAAACTTGGAGTAAATGGAGTTCTTAAAGGAATGAGAACTGTGCAGAGCTTCCAGCAGAACTCCAAAGAGAGAGAGTGCTAACGGGAGCTGATGTATCTATCCTCCATGCTCCATGTCCGGACGAACAAAGCAAACAAGACAGGGAGCAAGTTCATGTTATCAACACACCTACACGTCTCGTCTTTTAATGACAGTCGTAGGGCAGGCTAAAAATTATGAAAAGGGTGTTAGAAATTATATTTTACTGCATCGGTGCTCAACAAAATTGGAATTCCCCTTGAGAGAAGACGGTAGACACCGCCGGCCCCATCCCACCCTTCCTGATTTCTTCCGTAGGTACTATTCTCCCACCTACCTGAGATTCCAGAGTACTGGAAGAAAATAGCGAACTGAACTCCTCAAATAACTCCCCAAATCAACCTTTTAATCTCCCCCCCTTCAACAAACAAACCTTCCCTTTTCAAGCAACATAAAGTAACTAGAAAAACAGATTTAGATTTCACCTGTGCAGTCTTAGCCTCACTTCAACTGCAAGGCAGCACTCGGAGAAGGAAATGTGGAGGAAAGAGGAATAAGAGGTACAATCAGTCCTCAAAACCAGAAAGATAATCACTTCAACATTTAACACTAATATGTTTGGCAACGTCGCTGAATGAACATCAAATTGAGGGCTAAGAACCAAATATTCACTTCTATCCATGTGAGAATTTTGTATCTGGGGTAAAAAGCCCTGTAGGGACACAGTAAACCTCTTCCCTCAAAAGACCGAAAGGCAATGGTAAGCACACATTTGCCTCGCTCAGGTCTATACTCTGTCTTGAAGGACACACTAATTTGGGGGGAGGTGGAGGTAATCAGTTTGGATTTTACAGTTTGTTACTCTGCAACTGTCTTAAAAAAAAAAAACAGAAAATTCTCACCTTCTTCAAGATGGGTAACTCACATTTACCTGGAATATACAGATATATAGTAAAATATGGCCTTCTCTTTACACATCAGCAAAACACTGCCCATATATGTATACCATTTCCAACAAAAGAGGATATTCTGAAACCTGTGCCCAAGTTATTGAGTACATCTTTGTTCAGCCTTCCTGAGAACGGGGTGTTCAATATAGACCACAAGTCTTTCTGGACATTAACACAGACACTGACGACACCCACCACCCTGCAAACCTTTCTGAAATCTTTGAAACCTGCTATTGATTTGGGCCCCACAGATTCCAGTCAGTTACACCTCTCTGAGCAATCCCCGACCTGCCAACCCCCAGCCTACGTGTACAAACCACAAAGAATCTCTCGTTTCCTTTTATTTGACGCTGTGATAGAAATTAAAATACTAAATCACTGGCTATGACAAAAGATCCTAGCAACACCTACTTGTCAATAATCAGAAATGAAAGCATTACTCTACGAAGCATAGGGTTGACCTAATTTCCTACCGAAGAATTTACATTTTCTTTCACCTCTTTTAGTTTCAAGTAGTGTACAAGATTATTACAACTGCCTTGGAGCTGTTACTGCTGTCAGTGCTAAAATAATCAGACTTATTGGCATTGCTTTTGTAGTTTCTTAAAAACAAACATTAGACACATAAAAGTAACAAATATCTAAGGCATTCACTGAGGAAATGGCAGTCGCCTAATTAAAGTAAGATTTCTTTTGCAACCACTGTTATTTGGTACTGAAAATATTCTATATTATTTCCACTATTTCCCAGGGATGAACTAATCACTATGCACCATTGTAAAAAAAAAAGTAGCCTTCTCTTGTGTTTTGAGGAGGATTAGGGTTGGCTTCATATATAATCTGGAGCACACTGAAACACACATACACACACACACACAGAGGGAGAGCGAGGGAGAGAGGGAGGGAGGGAGAGAGAGGGAGAGAGAGAGAGAGAGAGAGAGAGAGAGAGAGAGAGAGAGAGAGNGAGGGAGAGAGGGAGGGAGGGAGAGAGAGGGAGAGAGAGAGAGAGAGAGAGAGAGAGAGAGAGAGAGAGAGAGAGCGAGCTTCCCCCTTTAATCTGGAGACCAGCCTCTTTCTAGAGGAACCTTGGCATTTGTATGTTGAATTGTTGAACTTGGCTAGTCGGCTGGAATACTGGCAGGGTAGGGTGGGATGGGAAATATATTTAGAAGTTTCTGCTACTGTGGGGAAGGGACTTCAGTGGCTATGCGTCAATCTGAGCATCAGACACACTATTCTGGTTCCCATTTCCTGTTCTCAGAGATATTTAACATTTTATTCTGTTTGGTTCAACTCAGGGCAAAGATGATGGCCTTGGTGGCTGTTCCAGCTGTTACTTGTCCTCCCAGTTCTATTTGCTTTTCAGGGTTTACCTCCCACCCACCCTCAACTTTGGCCAAGGTAATTTCACTTCAGGGTCGTGTCCAGCACAAGATCAAACAATGACAACGGAAAACAATTCCACGGTGCTCAAGGGTCAGAAACCTTTCATATAACTGTGTTGTCTCATTTGCTCCTCTCGCTTCTTTAGAAGCAAGGGTAGCCTCTCTAGAAGGTTTAGAACAAGGAAATAAAATATCTAGGCAAAAAAGATAATGGGGTGACAAGGACAGACAGGGGGAGTAAGCTCAGGGACGAGGAAGAGCATATTGGTAGAGAAAAAAGAATGTAGATTTCACTTAAAGACTAGTTTGTTACTTAAACCAGAAGATGGATTTTTCTTTGATATTAAATCAGTTTATAATAACACTACGCTCCCTTAGACAATTAAACCCCTTCAATTTAAGTTTCAAACTTAACTTCAAATTAATTGAGATAAGCATTGTCTTGCCCTTTCCATTGTGATAAGATTAAGAATGACAAACTTTGCTTATAGACACCCTGTAGAAGCAAAAAGTCGCCATGAAATGACTCCATTCTGAACCTCAACAGAAGTCCAAGAAATAAACAAATAATTATAATAGTGATTAAATAAAAACCCCAACCCCCTCAAGC